CCCCCCCCCCCCCCCCCCCCCCCACCACTCTCGCTCACCCTTGGCTGAGCTGGGATCATGCGAACCTGTGCCGAGCATCTGAGGCAAGGGCACTTGTGTGGCACCCATCACTGGGACTTTCATGAGCTTTTGTAATTCTTTGAGCTCCGATAATGCTAGAGAGCTCAGCCACCTCCCTGTGCCGGTGCCCGCAGGCATCTCCCCATGCTGGCTGGCAGGGCAGGATTGTACCTCCCTCTGCTTATTTACACTACTGCTTGGACCCAGCCCATCCCTTGGCCCCTGCTCTGCTAGGATGGGATGCGCCCTTCCAAAGCCCTCCAGGCAAGGATTTGCCTTCCCTCCCTCCGCAAGACCTTGGGAGCCCAGCGCTCCCCCAGAGCCCGCGGGAGGGGTAAGGAGACAGGCTTCCCCGCCAGGGTGAAGCAAGGCTGCGGGTCGCAGCCTGCCTGTGCTGAGGCTGAGCCAGCCTGGGCGAGTCCCAGGGCTGGGCTCCCCAGCCCGTCCTTTCCCTGCGCCTCTCAGCCTGACTTCACGGCACAAGCCCTGCCAGGGCATCCCCAGCCCAGCCCAGCACGCCCCTATTTTGCACGGGGCTCTGCTCCAGCCCCAACAAACCCCACGTAAAACCAGGCAGCCTTACAGCCTGCAAAAACTGGCCTCTGGCAGCTTTCCCCTTCCCTGATCCCGGGTCACCAGGGGCTAGGATCCCCTTGTCAGCACCCCAGCAGTGCCCTGGGCTGCAGATGCAGGCACAGGGACCATGCCCAGCCCTCCCTGCCCCCCAGGACATCCTGCCACTGGGAACTCACTGTCTGGAAGTCGCTGCCGTTGCACTCCTCATCGCCGAACATGCAGCAGACAAGCATCTCGCCCAGGTCCATCTGGTGGCCCACGCGCCCATAAAACTCCTCCAGGTCGAAGGGACGGCTCTTCTCCTCCTCGCTCATGGCCAGCGCCCCCAACAGAGCCTCCAGCCTGCTCCTCTCCACACTCTCCGGCACCAGAGGCCGGCCAGCCCCATCTAGGAGACCCAGCATCTCCCCTGCCCAGTACAGGTCGTGGCCAGAGAGCCGCGAGAAGCGGGCAGGGTTGAGGTTGCAGAGCGTGATGGCGGGGAAGGTCTTCTTGCGTGCCATCTCCTCCTCCAGCTGGGTGCTGTGGGGGTACTGGAAGTACAAGCCCACGCACTTGGCGTAGGCGTGGATGAGGAGGGCCAGCGAGCCCAGGAAGGCCAGCAGCCACAGCAGGTTGCGGGCAGTGTAGCACCGGTGCCGGAAGATGTGCTGGATGCCATGGAGGGTGGAGCGGCCAGCAAACTCCTCCAGACTGCACGGGCGCCGCTGCAGGGCCGGGGCATCGCATGCTGGGTGGCCGGTGGGGCAGCCCCCCGCCGGGAGGGCTGCCGAGGGCCAGGGGGG